AGGTTGCTAGATAGAAATACAGAGCTGGAGGCTGGCTGGGGGAGATGGGAAGTATCTCAGAGTAAAAAAATATGTATATCTTCATAGTAAGAAAAAGATACAGGTGGGTGGCGTGGTAACCACAAGCTTCGCTGGTAAGAGACTAAGTCTCCACTAGAGCCAGGATGTCTCAATAGCTTCCACCACTTACATTTCCTGATGCTCCTGGTATTAAAAATTTAAGAAATGTCAAAACATGCCTGTGCAAACTGTGGTGTGTTTTGAATACTTGTTACATAATTCAAACTCACAGACAGTGAGTTTTTGGCATAACACGCTACATTGTATAATAATGCTATTCATAAGGCAATGAAAGAATTTTTAAAATATGGCTTACTAGCGTACAATGGTGTAGCCCAGGGATGGGAAACAAGGCGAATGCTGTCAGACAACCAACTCGCTCTTTCATTCCCGTCAGGATGTCTATGTTCTGCAGAGAACGCATCATGCGTGCTTCACAACAACTCTGACTCTGAGGTGAACATGAGACCCAGGCCCAGTGGCCCCGCTGGTCTTCTGCTGTCATCTCCACCCAGCAGGTCCTCAGTAGGGTCTGTTTCCAGAGTGCAGTCCATACCGCCTCTCCTACCTTGTTATACGTGCATTGCTCTCTACATCTTGCCAAGCAATCCAGGCATATGAGTGCTGCCGCCTGATGTCATGCCTTTATCATCATTTCCTTTGGCTGTTACCCTTGTGTGTTAACTGCTATCTGCTTCTCCCTCCAGGCCAGTCTCCGTATTGCTGGCAAAGATCTCCCTCATAAATACTGATCTGAACATGTCACAACCCAGCCTCCAAATCATAAGTAGACCCCCTGATCCCATAGGATGACATTTGAGTTCTTTAATATGACATATAATGCCCCACACAAGGGTCTCCAACCCACCTTTGCAGTCTGATTTCCCATTATTTTGCCAAAACTCCACACCTCCCGCTTTCCCACGAAGGTTCCATGCTCTTCCAGTTCTGTTCTCGTTCCTGCTATTACCTCTCCCTGAGAAACCCTTCTCTTCTAGCTAATCCTTCCCCCTCTCTCCTGTGAAAAGTTCCCCAAAGCTCCCAGTGGGAGTGGCTTTCTAGTCTTCTAGCCTATTTGTCATGCGTGTCTTCAGCACAGTGAGTGTTAGTGAGATCACAGAAGAGAGGGTCTGGGATATTTTTTTGTATTGATTTCAGAGAGGAAGGGAGAGGGAGTGAGAGAATCATTGACTGGCTGCCTCCTGCACACCCCCACTGGGGATTGAGCTCACAACCCGGGCATGTGCCCTGACCAGGAATCCAGTCGTGACCTCCTGGTTCATAGGTCGATGCTCAACCACTGAGCCATGTAGGCTGGGGGAGACTGAGATTTTTAAACTTTATCTTTGTGTATCCTATTCTTCTATCATGAGCAGTAAGGGCTCAATAAATACTGATGGGATGATTGAATTAATTGTCACTCATACCCCATGCATTCAGAAGCAAATGCAAGTTCAGTTGCAAACAACCTCTTGCAAACAATTTTGCTCCACAGCCATTCATCATGATTGCTCACAATTTTCTAGATGGTTCTTAAAAGTAGTTCTGATGGTTGCAAAATGGTTCTTGGTTTCCGGACTGCCCCCCATCACCCCCTTTAACATGCTTCTTCCAAAGTCAGGCCATTTTTTTCCCTCAGTTGCCTCCTGACTCAGCGGAGCCTCTTGAAGAAACCCTATAAGACCTTATTTCCTTGACTTGGGCTACGATTTCAGCTCAGCACACAGAATCACCATCATCATTCATTGCTGAGATGGTGGTGTGCTGCTTATCTGCCTGCAGTCATTTTCTGGGCAAGAAATAATGCATTAGGAACACAGCTTCATTATCAGGCCCCGGTTTGGCAGATAGAGCAACATTCCAGGGTAATTGGAAGGACAGCTGATTTGTTAGCAAAATGTTACTTTTTGGCTAATGAATCATTGTGATTTTTGCACTGACAGCTCAGTAACAAGCTTGAAGACTACTTTCCCTCAGACCATTAAACTTTGACAAACCCGTTATTAACTGCAGCGAGAGCCAGCAGTCTGTGGGGATTATTGCAATTATGAGCCATATATGTAATTCTTAAAAATCATTAGCCGACAAGGTGAGTCTGATGACCGAGGGCTGATGACTGACAGCCGCCGTCGCTTTTAGTGCAGGAGGCAATAAACAGCTGCTGGGAGGACGATCCGTCAGCAGAAGCTCTTTGCTGGGAAGACGCAGCCGGAGTAATAAAGGTTATTGCTCTCGAACAACAAGCTCCGTTCGGGAGGGAGGAAGCAAAGCTTTCCTTTGGCTTCCACTGTGGAGGCTGGAGGTCTTTGCTCAAAAGAGAACTAGAGGGAAGCAGAGGGAGCCCAGGGAACAGAGAGAACAGCCAGCCAGGCCTTCATGGCGTGGGTTTTCTTTCTCTGCTTTACCAGACTGTTACACTCAGCAGTCCCTTTAGAAGTTGCCTGTCCTTTCGCTTTACTGTTGCTCCTATTCCTAACAGGGGTCTCGAACTCAGGTGGATAATGCAAATTAGCAGAGAAGACAGAAGCAGTAAAGACTGTGGTAAAATCACAAGGCAAGAATTTAACTAAAAACCCATCAGTGGGCCATTGTGTCATCGGGTTTACAGACGGCAGTCCAGGTCCTCAGTTGCAGTGTGAGAGCCTGTGAATCTGGCCTTTCCCTCCGCAGCCTCATCGTTTTGCAATGCCCTTGCTGAATCCCCATGCCCCCGTCTGACGGGGATGATCCCCAAGAATGCCCACACTCTCCAGTCTCTGTACCTTTCCCCCTTGGGAATGGCCTTAGCCTTGACACATAGGTCTACACGTTCAAATCCTACCCACTCTACCCACTCTCTGGGTCTCTGTTTCTTTACTTGTCAAATTGGGAAGAAGAGGTGGATTGGATCCATGCTGATGTCTCTTCTAATGCTCTGTGGGTCTGTGACATTTCACCAACTCAGGTTCGCACATACGAATCTAGTTGTGCCCCACACAAGGGTCCCCAACCTCCCTTTCCAGGCTGATTTCCCATTATGGGTTGGGGACCCTGGGTGGGTTGGGGACCCTGTGTGGGGCATTATATCCTCACCCCGTGTGATACTGTGCACCCCCCAGGTGGCCACATTGCGGGGAGTCTTGCCGTCATCACAGACGCTGCCCACCTCTTGATTGACCTGACCAGTTTCCAGCTCAGCCTCTTCTCCCTGTGGCTGTCCTCCAAGCCTCCCTCCAAGCGGCTCACCTTTGGATGGCACCGGGCAGGTACAGTTCACTGACGGAGCGCTCATGGTGGAGTGCCCACAATGAGAAACCACAGGTTACAGTGCCTGCTTAAAGGCGGAGGTCAAAATTCTGGAATGTGCCTAATCACTGACTCACAGAATGTTCCCAGACCCTGGTGGCTTTTCAAATCCACCTCCAAGGTGGAGTTGCAGATCAGGGAGAGGCATAAAGGAACTCCTAAGTGAGCAAATGTACTTTACTCAGCGGGCACAGTGAACACTATCCTATCTTTAAATGTCAATGTAAATGTCACATTCTATGTTTCTTTTCCTTACCGTTGCTCTTAAAATGCTTCTAGAGTGTTGATATACCTCTGAGCTCACCTCTGTGTTGATGGGATGTTGGGTTGGCAAATGAAACTCATTTTTCAAGTACCCTCTGAAGCCTTCCCCTTTTACTGTTGTAATCCACAGAAGCTACTGGTACTGGCACGTTGTAAATGTTTAATCGCAAAATTAAGAGTTTCTAAATGCCTTTTACTGTTTGTGTCTCATTATTTCATCTCCTAATAAGTTTCAATCATTTTAGCACCTGCTTAAATTAAAATCCCTAAGGAAAACAGCACGCGTGGGCAACAAATAATACGCTTTTAAAATTTGCTGCAAATTACTGAGTAACATGGAGCATAATGAACTCAGATGCTGGTGTGTTATAAATGCAACATGAAAGCAGCTTGTCTTAGTGCTAAAATCCTTCCAACGTTTTGCTTTGTGAATCAGAGTGAACTAATCTAAAGCTTCTTTTTGGGGGGGAAAGAACATGAATGTCTCATGACTCTTGGGGACGTTAGGCGATTCATGAATGCTTTGTGTATGGACGTCTGTGTGCTTGCATCCTTAGAGATCCTCGGTGCCCTGCTGTCCATGCTGTGTGTCTGGGCAGTGACTGGTGTGTTGGTGTACCTGGCGTGTGAGCGCTTGCTCTACCCTGATTACCAGATCCAGGCCACCGCGATGATCATCGTTTCAGGCTGTGCCGTGGCAGCCAACATTGTGTAAGTCACCCCGCACACTGCCCAGGAAGCTTGCCTTGAACCCTGTCTGGACTCAGATGTGTGTTTGTTCTTGTTGCTATTTCTTGCATGTGTTTAATTCCTCTACTTGTGAGGATGGCAGAGACCTGACAGGGTGCTCACGTGGTTCTATGGCTGAAAGGAAGGTTGATTGTGCTCATGTAAGTATTTTACTATCAGCTTCTAATAGCTACCATTTTCAATGCTTTTTATGTGTCAAGGACTGTGATATGATCTTTTGATCTACATTATCAAGCTCCATGTTCACAGCATCCCTACTTTCCAGATTAGAAAACTGAAGCTCAGTGAGGTTAAATGAATTGCCAGTGAGGAGGTATAGAGCCAGGATCTGAGACCCACCATACTCAGAATGGGGTCCTAGCCATTCTGCTTTCATGCATATTGATGGTTCCACATGGGACGTGACTTACTCCTACACACGGGGCATATTATGGCTCCCACAGAGCTGGAGTGGAAGGGATCTTAAATTTTATTTACTTTAGTCCCCTTCCTACTTCTGAATTCTCTTTTGCAACATCCCATAAAATGGTCATTAGTTTCATATATTTTAACAGAACTAATAGCAGAATTTATTTCTCTCATAAGCACTCTACCATATCTTTGCAATATTTTGACTATATAAAAATTCTGCCTTAAGCTATGTTAGCTAAACTCTTTATTTTCTACCCGTTGGTTCATTGCCTTAACCAGGTAGACATAAATCACTCTTATGGGATGTGTGACCATGTCCTACTGGACATGTGATCATTGCCATATTTGTCTGCTCTTCCCCAAATGAGCTACTTGGTAGCTTATGACAATGGGGTTTTAAGGCCAGGGATTTGATCCTTTTGGTCGATTTGCTCCTTCCCATTTGACAAAATAATTCTGGACAACCCTATTTAAAACTGTATCTATTTGTCTGCCTGTCCATCTATCTGTATCATCTGTGGTACAGAGAACAATGGCCCCTCAAATTTTTCCATATTCTAAGGCTTCGCACTTCTAAATATGCTACCTTACATGATAAAAGAAATTTAAAAAATGTGATTAAGCTAAAGATGGATCTTGACGTGGGGGAGATTATCCAAATTATCCAGATAGGCCCAATGTCACCACAAAGGTCCTAATAGAAGGGAAGCATCAGGTCAGAGAGGGGAGAAGATGCTGCATTGCTGGCTTTGAAGATGAAGGAATGTAAGTGACATCTAGGAGCTGGGAAAGTTAAGAAAGTGTGTTCTCCCCTAAAGCCTCCAGGAGGAATGCAGTCCTGCACACTCACTATACACTTCTGACTTCCAAAACGATAAGATAATAAATATATGTTGTTCTAAGCTAGAAAGGCTGGTGGTAACTTGTTACAGCAGCAATAGGAAACTCATACATCATCTATGCATCATCTGCTTGTCTATCTTGCACTGCCACGTGATATACTGCAATAGGCTTATACATGAAAGTGAGGAAGACAGTGATAGAAGAATGGCATCTTGAACAGTGTTTTTAAAGCGAGGGCACAGTGGATCTCTGGAGCTAGAGGAAAAGCTGAGCATGTACATGTAGAGAAAGCTCCCCAGGTCCCTCTAGTACCCTTACCTTGTGCCTGCCTCTGTTCCTCACCTCTTAGTTTGCAAACCATTGCCAAAATCTCTGAGCTAAACCATTAGAAGAGTGATATTTCATCTGCTGTAACTGACTAGATCCCTATTTCCACCCAGTTATATTGAAAACGTGTTTCACATTGGCATTAGGGAGATCAATCCCAATCTATCACCACTAGGAGACAAGCCAGAGCACATGTCCTGCTGACAGGGATCAATAACATCATCTATGCATAGGAGAACAACATGTCCACAAGGCAGCAGGAAGAATAAAAATATTAATAATTTCCCAAGTCATATGGCACATAATTGTATCGATGCTACACAAAGATGAAGGGTACCCCTAGTTAACTACCACATAAATCTGGACCCTCGGTGATTGAGTTTAACTTTCTAAACAGATACCATCCACATTTGCTTTTTACTGCAACTGCTGCTGAACTTTGACCTTAATTTTCAGGTGCTCAGAAAGATAAGGGAATTAAAAAGCTTTTGACTTCCCTGTGGAAATAGGTAGTTATTAATGGATAAGGCTACTGAGTGACTATCATGTTTTCTCCCAGAACTGGGAGTACAGGTTCCAAGTACAGGTAGAGGCTGTCTTGTCTGAATAGACTACCACAATTTGAGGATAAATCTATTCCTGGGGGACTCAAAATTAGGACAGAAAGTTATAATACAGGTTGCAAAGGGATTCTAGGATGAAAATTATTCACAGAGCCTTAAGGCCATTGCATGCCAAATTTCCTCTGCCTGAACATTCCCCCCCCTCCTAGCCAAACGCTAACCTTCCACATCCAACTCGATTGCTCTGTCCTGCTAACTAAATCAGATCCCCTTATTTGACTATCTGTAGCACCGGTTCTTAGTAGGCTTATTATAATTAGAATTTTCCATGTATGTGTGTGTTTGTCTTTTTAAATTCTCTGCATCTCCTTCATGCTTGAAGCCACAATGGAGAGGCTTACTCTCCTAGCCAAACGCTAACCTTCCACATCCAACTCGATTGCTCTGTCCTGCTAACTAAATCAGATCCCCTTATTTGACTATCTGTAGCACCGGTTCTTAGTAGGCTTATTATAATTAGAATTTTCCATGTATGTGTGTGTTTGTCTTTTTAAATTCTCTGCATCTCCTTCATGCTTGAAGCCACAATGGAGAGGGACCATGTCTGTTTTTACTTACTCTTATGCCTTAAACATTTAACAGTGCCTCGCATACACGGGTCCCTGAGTAAGTTTTTCTTTTTTTTTAATAAAATGAGTGAAAGAATGAATGACAACATGATGAGCACACCTCCTAGTAGCAGACCTAGAAAGAGAGTCTAGTAACTGCCAGCCGTGGGAGGCCGTCTGAAGACCCTGAAATGGTAGCTCCGAATTGAGGGTCAATTTCTGCCAAAACACTGACAGTCTAAAAAGGAAACATTATGTGAAAAGCAAATCCTGGTGGACAGCAGTCAGTTCACGTTGTGATGATGATCTGAGAGTTGACAGACACTTTTCTGAAAATAAGAGTACGTGGTACTAAACAATATTTCTTTAAAACCTCTGTTACAAAATGTACAGAGAAGTTTCTAGGCAAAACACTCCTTGTTGGCCATCAGTAAAAAAAGTTCTCATTCTGCCTTTGGTCTAATACCTCTTGAGGTTGTAGATAAATAGAACCAGGTGCATAATTTATAATGGCTGCTACTTAACACTTTGATTTGGATAGGAAATGTTAAATTTTGCAATACATTTATAACATTTTAATATATTTTACTCTCTGGATAAATAGCTACATATACATAAGCACAGTATGCTCACCATTGGCCATTAAAATTATTCAAATTTCAAAATCTTATGTAGATGAACAAAATTAAGTAAAATAAAAGATTAAAAAATCCAGCCCTGATGAAATTCACTACTAATTTTGTTTTACTCCTTCCTGCGCTTTATGCATTTGAAACTAGTACATTTAATTAAGCTCCCATCAAAGTTCAGCTTTAAGCCTAGCTCAGTAAGTACACCATCAGTAAATGATATTTTTCCTCCTCATTGTAAAATACTCGGCTTTCATCAAAGTAGTGATGCTTTCCAGTTTTAATGTGAAAGGGGAGTATTAGGCGGAAAGGAAAACTGAAGCAAATCTTCATTGTCTGCCCTTTTGTGGAAAATTGAAAATGCTATGATCCACTTGTGTTCAAAATTAGTCCAAAATAGTATATCTTAAAACATGAATATTTTAATTACCTGCCAATTTGGATAATATATGCTACTGTTAACTCTTCCATTATGCCGGGTAGGTTTTAAGGGTTAATCTCACGTGTGCTGAGAACATGTTCTCTTGTTCAGATTAAGTGTGATTTTGCACCAGAGGCCTCCCGGCCACAGTCACAAGGAAGTGCAAGCTAATGCCAGTGTCAGAGCAGCTTTTGTGCATGCGCTTGGGGATCTGTTTCAGAGCATCAGTGTGTTAACGAGCGCACTCATCATCTACTTCAAGGTGAGTGTGTTTGATTTAACTCACTGTCATAGCAATTTTATAGACCAAGTAATAT